CTGCCTGGATGGCTGGCAGGGAGGTTTGGAGCAGGCAATCCCAGGGACATCACTTTGTGTCAACGGCTCACCTTTTCCCCTGGTTCTTGCTTCTGCCAGCAGCCCCAGAGTGCACCTGGTTAGATGGGGACAGGCATGGAAGGTGGGGAGTGGGGCCCTGAGGGGTATGTGGCACCAGAGAAAAGCTGACTCAGGACTGGTTAATGATGGCAGACCTGACAGCTACGAAGACTCTATAGATACCTCCTAAAATGTCATTATTTTCAGAGAAATCAGAGGCCCAGCGAGAAAAGGGGGCTTCTCAAGATCCCTCTATGAACGACTCCAATGATCCCACCATTTCATATCACTACCGCCTCAGCAGCAGACACACAAGGGTTAACTGCCCCTCACAAAGTGGCAAACTGATGTAACTGATTGCTACCAGCTGAAAGGAGAGCCAGCCCGGCTAGAAACCACAGGTAGACAAAATGCCAAGTTTTCCCACAGCTCTTTCTCCTCTGTACATGGCCTCAGGCTATTTTCCTACTACCAGCTCTCATTCCCCCAACCCTGAGCAAGAGAAAATTTTGAACTTCCCTCCTCACAGGGCCCAGTCACGGCCAGGGCAAATCAATATCTGATAAGCTACCCAATCATTCCAGTTGAAACACTGATCAATGGCTGAATGAATAACTGGAAATTCACAGGTCAGTAAAGAGCTGATCCATGCACAAATCCAGGAGTGAAAGCTGCCGAGCTTCACACAGGGGCCTCTATCAGGGGAGGTGGGCAGGGAAGCAAAGCAGCAAAGTTACCCTGAGAAGGGTCTTAGGAGCCCGAAACATGACGGACGAGCTCTGAAGATCAGAAGGCAGCTCCAGCATGAGCAGCACAGCTGAGACTCTGAGAGCCCACAGGGGCAGGCTCTGGGGAGAGCTGGGGTGCAGGGGGTTCCACAGAAGTGCTCTTCGAGTTCCTTCTGCTTGCTTCACTCCTTGACAGTCATCCAAATGCTGGCAAGGCCAGCTTGCCACTGGGATACTGGGCAGTAATTTCATATTAGGAAACGGTAGATAGGAAACCAGGGAAACTGAGGAACATAAAGGGACAGCCCCCACCACGTATTCGCTTGTGTCTGGCTCTGTGACTCCCACAACCAGGTGTGGAAACAGAGCTTTTGTGGTTTGAAAGGCCTACGACTAAATGAGTAATATCAAGGGCTCCGTGCTTGTCACTGTGCTATACACAGTCCCCACCCGACAAGGACAGCTGACTTGGGACGCTCTTAATCCCTTCAAAAATACATATAAACGCTGTGTCAGAGGAGCACACACATGTAAATGTGCAGCCTCTGGAACCCTCTGTTCGAGGTGAGCTGCGGGGGCCACCTTCTTCTTCCCCAGGTGATCAGGGCACTTTCACAAGGCAAAGGGGATCCACAGGCTCTTCCCTCCTGGCCTCTTCTAGTAAGGTAAATTCTTCCTTGGAGCGGTATCTCCCATGGCCAGGGACCTGGAGGAGAAGCATGACTGTCTGAAGTGTGACTAGAAGTCAGATATCAGGGCCAAAATGATTCTCAAAGACCACCCAATACAACCTCCTTTTACAGGCTGGGAAACGGGTTCAGCCAAGGAAAGCAATTTCTATGATCACCTGGAGGCAGCAGCTTGGAGCAAAATGTTGAGAAGGAGTCTAAGACCAAGCAGGAAAGACGTGTGTGACTGAGGACTGGCTGGCAACGACTGCTGTGGATGGCAGGGGGAGGGATGGCATCCCCGCCTCAGCTCAGCCAGGCCTTGGCCTCCACCCTTTCATAGGGAGTGGGTGCAAATTAGAAAAAGATGCCCCTTCCAGGCAGCATATAGCTTGACAAGCCGCAGGTGAGCAGATATCCATCCCTCCCCACTGAGGGCTAGAGTACAGGGCCAGCTCACATATGCAAGGCACACCTGAGTGTGGTGTCTGAGGCAGGAGGCCCTTGAGCTATTCAACTTTTCTTCAGGCCCCCTTTATTGATTTGTCATCTGTTAACATAGAAATATTTCTTGATACCAAAGGAGGTCATAAGCCATCATTCTCTCTCTCTCATGCAGAGAAATCAGTTCTCAAGAGGGAAGGCATGCCAAAAGGGCGGCAGGTGATGATAAAGTGATGCATTCATCCGTGCCCAAAATTTTGCACAAGGGGCCATGCTGCCCCCACCACACCCAGAGCCCCATCTCTCTTTGCCTTCACAGTTTGTGTTCCTAAAGAGGCAAAGAGAAAAATATTCAACCACGTAGACTCCAGGTTTTCTGTATCATCCCTGGGCGTGGAAACCTTCACGAGGCCGGGGAAAGACCACACTTGCATCTAGTTGTATGCACTTCACAGGTGTTCGTGCAGGTAACCAACCTCCTCAGACCTGTTTCTCATCCTGGAATCCCAATCACAGTAATGGGCAACCAGCTCCCTAAACCAGAAAGCGCCCTGAAGACCGCTGGATCCCCCTGCACCCCCACTCTAGAGGCTACCACTCATCTAAAGTCCCACTCCCACACATGTCCCATCCTCCTCCCTCACTACTACCGTCTTGGCTCAAACCACTTCCCCAATTGGCCTGTCTCCTCCCGCCTTACTCGTCCCACCATGCTGCTTTCTGAAGGGCCTTTCAAAACCATCCAAGGCTCTTTGCAGCCTTCAGAACAGGGCCAGCCTCCATCAGGTCAGCCTCAACTTGACCCTGTCCATCAACCCATACCACACTCTTCAGCCAGGCCCAGCACACAGCGCTCCCTCATGTAGTGGCCATGCCACACCTCCAGAGTGTGCTCACTGCCTCCCTCGGCCAGAATGTCCTGTGCCGCACCAGTGGCTTAATCTAACCGGTTATCCAGGCCCTGGTCCTCCAACCTGGCCAGACAAGCCAGCCGGGAGAGTCTGTAGAATGCAGGCTAAGGCTGCAATGTGGGAACAACATGGTATGGAAACCGGATAGGGTGTCCTTCACACCAGGCCTTCTACCTGACTACACTCTTCTCCCACTCCTGATTCCTATTCCCCTCTATAGCAATTACCTGTTATGCATCTGTCTGCCACCCGAGACTGCCCTCTTGGTAGGAGAGAGAGCATCACCTTCCTCTGGGTGTCCCCATACCCAGCTGGGTCAGACTTGGGATATGCGTTGAGGGGAAAACCCAGGAGGTGCCTCGAGTTCAGGCTGAGCTCCCTGTTGGCTAGGTCCATGTTGCTCCTGGGGTCCGTGTCCTCAACAGAGGCCAACTGTGTCTCTGGGGTATGTAGGGAAGAGGCAGGGAGGGTGTCAATGCCCCTACAGGGTCTGATTTTTGAATCAGACATGCTGCCTTTACCTATGGCTAAGTGCCTAGAGGCTTACCTAATACAGAAGGGGAGGAAAGAGGTGTTACTTGGTGAAGTCTCACAGGTCCACCTTCACGGGTTAAGGCCACCAAGGGGGGCAAAATAGATCTAACAGGTGGCCTGAACTCCCTATAGTGAGTTAAGGGGTGTGGACAGGTCGAGCCTGCTTTCTGGGTCCACACCTTTCAGAATCCCAAGCCCTACAGAACCATCAGGATGAGCAAGGTCTGTGGGAGTGAGGCCCCATGTGCTACCCCTACGGCTACCATAGAAAAGTGTGCACCCTTATTGGGAAAAGTTTTTGGCTCCTCATCCCCAATACATGTAAACTATTTACAAAGCTTTACCATCAATTCGTACATGAAATATTAAGTGTTATGAAGTGTATGCCCGCTTTGAAGTGCTAATTCTCAGTCCCTCAGAATGTGATTCTGTTTGCAGGTAGGGTTTTTAAAGAGGAATTAAGTTAAAATGAGTTCATTAGGGTGAGCCTTAATCCAATATGACTGAAGTCCTTCTAAGAGAGCAGGACACAGAGAAGGAAGAGCCTGGGAAGACAGCCTGCTGCAAGCCAGCAGAGGCCACCGAAGAAACCAGCCCTGCCAACACCTTGATCTTGGACTTTGGGGCTCTAGAAAGGAAAGGAAAGAAGTGTCTGCTGCTTAAGCCACGCAGCCTGTGGTACTCAGTTATGGCCTAAATGGGCCTTATATTTTTCTCTCACACCCCACCTTGCAGACTACTGTCAGGAGCTGGACTTTATAGGCCACCACCTAGAGACAATGAGGGGTCTGGCAGCCTCCCCCCGTGGGCCTGAGAGTATCTGGAAGAAACCTGAGAAGGCAGAGACCCCAACACTGGAGGGACTGTAAGGGTTTGCCGCAGGCCAACCCTCGGACGGAACACCCCTCTCGCTGTTTCCCAAGCTCGCCCAATCATAAGAATCACCTGGGGTACCTCTGAGCCACCCTGGGAGTTATGCGATGGGGCCAGGAACTGGGATTTTGTTAGGTGAGCCAGGACCAGAAGCGTTTCAGGAACGGTAGTGCCACTCATGCCACCCCAGGAGATGGGTTTGTCGGCGCAGTGTGCGTGCGCGGGCATCCCTCTAGCAGAGGGAGGAAGAAAGGGAGCGAGGCCTGGGACCCGCCGCACCCGCCACTCCACCTCCAGCCCCGCGGAGCCCTCCCCCTCCCGCGGTCCGGGCCTCGAACGAAAGCAACTGGGTCCCGCTGTTTCTGTCACTGCTGTATTTGCCCATCTAAGTTTTGCGTCCGGCGTTCGTTCTCTGAACCAACAGGCGGATGGAAGAAATGCCTTCTGGTTCCAACGCGAGTTACTCTGCGAAGTCCCAGACGCCCTTGTTTTCCTCCAGGGTGTGGCCCGCCCGTGACTCTTCTCCCAGGCTCTGGAGCCTTAAATGAAACCCAGGTTCCCCGCTCCCACCAAAGTCTGACCAGAGGGCGCAGTGCGCCGCGGGAGGGGACGGCCACCACCCCAGGGTCTAGCGCGCCGAGTGCAGTGGGGAACGCGGTGTGCGGGTCGCCGGGCTCCCGCCCTCCCTCGGGTTTGCGCGCCCCAGCTCCCCACTGACCTCAAGTTCCTCCCAACCTCGAAAGGCGGCTGCCCACCTCCGACCCCCGCCCGGCTCGGCTCACCCAGGCTGGCAGGTGCAGGCCCCGCAGCTCGCGGCTGATGAACTCGCGTTCATTGTCAAGGAATTCGAAGGCGGCGGCCAGACGCCCGAGCTTCCCGCGGCGGTTCCTGCGCCACCACATCCACAGCAGGGCGCCGAGCAGCAACCAGGTTATGCTGAGCCCCAGGTAGCCGGCTAGGTAGACAGGCCCCAGGTAGAACAGCACGCGCACCACGAAGGTATAGAGCTCCGGCAGCAGCTGGCTGGACAGGCGCAGTTCGGAGCCCGGGACGCGCTGGGCTCCCGGGGTGCTGGGGGACCTGGGGGCGCAGGGCTCCTCCGCTCGCATCTCGTCGCCACCGTCTTGCCCTTCCCGAGAGCTTCACCCGAGCTTAGGTCCACATTCCCCGACGCCCGGTCGCATCTGTCTCCCGAGCGCGAGGACCAGGCCGCGCCTCCTTGCCCTGCTGGGACTCTCGACGCTCTCGGCTCAGCGTTCTCTGCGCACTCGAGAGCGGCGCCTGGAAAAGCACCGAGACGCGCTCAGCTCTAGTGAGCCCGCCGCTCCGGAAGTCTCCGCCTCAGGGGGGCGGGCCGCCAGCCTGGCTCAAGAGCCACCAGCAGGTGAGCTCGACCTCCGACCACAGCTTGCGGCGCAGGCGTCAGCTGGAGGTGCTCACTCGTCAGTCTGGGTGGACCAAGTGCAGCCCTAGGTGGTTGATGACTCACCGAGGCCTGTGTACAACTGGCTTATCATGAATAAACATCACCTAAAACCTGTTTCCTACACGCAGTCTTATAATACACAGTACTACACAGTACAGGCTGGACTCAGTTGGCATTCGAGGCCCTCCCTCGACAGGCTCAGCCAGGCCTCCCCAGCCTCGGATCCTGCTTCCTGGCCTTCCAACTGGCCCCTAGAGCCTGCAACGCTGCCAGCTCCTCTGGCATCCGTTAAGCTTGGACCTAGCCCCCAGCCTCAACAAGCTGAACTCAGGGCCCCTCCTGCGCGCCACAAAACCCTCTTCCCGGCTCTCCCCACCCTCTCTACGAGGTGTCAGTTTGGATAGTCATTCCCTGCATCATCAGACCCGGAACTTCCGGGGGCCGGCCCGTCCTGTGGGGCGCCCAAGAAGGGCAAGTGACTGGTGAATAAAAGAAGAGATGAAGAGGAAGCCCCGAGGTGCGTGAGAGTCGACGGCAAAGCCCATGGTTTCTAGCCCTTGAATGATCAGAGCAGGTGGAGCTCTGCATCGTTTAAGTTCTGAGAGTAAATCATCTTGTGGATAGCATATATTTCAGGCGACCACATGAAAAGGCTCATATCAATTACTGGAATGTGATTTTGGAGTTGACAAATGTGCAGGAATGATTTGGAATGACTCTATATCCTTTCAACAGCTTTATCGAAAGGCTGGTGCCGGCCGGCCCGGTGGCTCAAGCCTGTAATCCCAGCACTTTGGGAGGCCGAGGCGGGTGGATCACGAGGTCAAGAGATCGAGACCATCCTGGTCAACATGGTGAAACCCCATCTCTACTAAAGATACAAAAAATTAGCTGGGCATGGTGGCGCCTGTCTGTAATTCCAGCTACTCGGGAGGCTGAGGCAGGAGAATTGCCTGAACCCAGGAGGCGGAGGTTGCGGTGAGCCGAGATCGCGCCATTGCACTCCAGCCTGGGTAACAAGAGTGAAACTCCGTCTCAAAAAAAAAAGAAAAGGCTGGAGCCGATGGATAGCAATCATAAGAGAGCTGTATTCTCTTCCTTTTCTCGCTCTCTTTCTCTACCCACCACCCTCACTCTCTCTCATTCTCATTCTCTTTGGCTCTGGTTCTCTTTTTCTCTGGTTTTATCCCTCTCTTAGATAAAATTACTTACCATAATGATTTTTTTCAACAATGGGTATGTTCCTGGTGGTCAGAATACCTGGACCCTTCTCTGTTGTTCTTGGCTTTCCAGGACTCAGCCAAAACAGAGGCTGAAAGTCTCCCAACTTAACATCCTGTTACACTGGCAGCTCCCAGTGTAGCCTGGGAAATTAACAAGAAATGCTGCTTACTGGCTTCCTTCTAGAGAGTTGCACGTACACAGTCCTATTAAAGGCTCTGTGAAGTCCTTCAGACAAAAAGCTATTAAATTCTATTTAACCCAATGTTTCCCAGATTATTTGACCACAGAATTCTTTCCTGAAAATACTACTCTGTTGGTTGACCCAGGTCTGCTGAAGCAAAAGAGAGTGTACGACAGGGATGCTGGGAATTCTCCTGGAATCTGAGGCCAAATGTGGCTGGTCTCAGGATGGACAGACCAGGAAGCTAACTGGCACAACTGCGCTCCTCATCCTTGTGTCCCCCCCGCCCTGCTGACCTGCCTGGCTGGCTGAAGTGCAGAACAGACTTTTCTCCCAACATCCAGAGCTGCAGGGTACAGGTCTCACCAATCCAGAGAGACGGCCTTGACCCATACCCTGTCCTGATTTCAAATCCCTTGGAGAGGATACAACTGAATCTATCATCCCCTTTGTCCTTCACACACAGCAGGTCCACACCTCAAACCCGACGTGAGTTAGTTTGGGAGAGGGTGTGGAAGGTAGTGAGTTTGTGGGGGGATTACTAGAGAAAAGAAGGTTGTTTGTGAACTGGATGGAAACCCACTGCGACAGATGCCCAGCCTGAGACCTGCGGGACATTGCCAACCCCCAGCCGCATCACCTTTCTGTTCCTTGAACACATAAGCTCATTTATGCTGCAAGGCTTTTATACTTGCTGTTCTCTCTACCTGGAATGTTCCTCTTCTAAAACTTCTCCAAAGTACGATAGGGTGGTGGGATTATTACTTCATTTCCCCCTTTTTAAATGTATTTTTAAAATTTTATTTTTTGAGACAAAGTCTCACTCTGTTGCCCAGTCTAGAGTGCAGCGACGCAATCTCAGCTCACTGTAACCTCTACCTTCGGGGTTCAAGCAATTCTCCTGCTTTAGCCTCCCAAGTAGCTGGAATTACAGGCACCTGCCACCATGCCCAGATAATTTTTGTATTTTTAGTAGAGACGGGGTTTTGCCATGTTGGCCAGGCTGGTCTTAAACTCCTGACCTCAAAGTGATCCACCTGCCTCAGCCACCCAAAGTGTTGAGATTACAGGTGTGAGCCACCATGCCGGCCTCCCTCTTTTAAAAAACTTATTTATAATGTCAGCAAAATACTCTCATAAATTAAATATATGAGAACATTGAGAATATGGCACTGAAAGCTCTCTACCCTACCTGAGATGGAATCTGTGCCTAGAACATTGGAGCCTTTATTTCCCTTGACCTGGACATCTAGTTACTATAGCCAGCAAAACAATATTTGATGAGCGGTTTAATCACAGCCAAAGCTGGGGAGAATGATGCCTTCCAGAGCCTTTGCCTGGACACATTTGAATGTGCATCCTATTACATACTAGCTGTTTGAAGAACAGTAGCTCAAATAAATATTCATTGGTCACTAGTGTGGATTGAATTGTGTCTATGTTGAAACACTTGGTACCTGTGAACGTAATCTTATTTGAAGTAGAGTCTCAGGGCCAGGCACGATGACTCACACCTGTAATCCCAGCACTTTGGGAGGCCGAGGCAGGCGAATCACCTGAGGTTGGGAGTTCAAGACCAGCCTGACCAACAAGGAGAAACCCCATTTCTACTAAAAATACAAAAAATCAGCTGAATCCCAGCTATTCGGGAGGCTGAAGCAGGAGACTCGCCTGAACCCAGGAGGCGGAGGTTGCAGTGAGCTGAGATCAAGCCATTGCACTCCAGCCTGGGCAACAAAAGCAAAACTCCGTCTCAAAAAAAAAAAAAAAAAGCAAAGAAACAAAGAGCCTCTGCAGATGTAACCAAGTTAAGATGAGATCATACTCAATTAGGCTGGACCCTAAATTCAATGACTGGTGTCCTTATAAGAGAAGAGAGATTCGGAGATGGGGATACAGAGGAGACACAGGAAGTAAAGGCCATGTGAAGACACACGTAGAAACCAGAGTGGCACAGCCACAGGGCAAGGAATGTCAGGCATTGCTGGCACCCACCAGGAGCCGGGAAGAAGCAAGGAAGGATTCTTCCCTAGAACATGGGAGAGAGCTCAGCCCCAGTGACCTCCGGAACGGTGAGAGTAAAATCCTGTTGTTTTAAGCCATCCAGTTTGTGGCACTTCATTACTGCAGCCCTAGGAAATGAATACAGCCTTCTACCGAGTGCCAGGCACCGTTCCAGGCATAAGAGATTCAGGGTGAACAGAACAGACAGGCTCGCTGCTCCCATACAGCTGACGTTCTAGTGCAGGAAGACAGACACCAACATTTAAATGAAGTGCAAGAAAACAGGTAAGGAAGGTGCTCTGCAGATGCAGTGAGTAGGCTGAGAGGGAGGGACTGGCGTGGGGAGAAGGGCTGTTTTAGATTGATTTGGAAAATTAGGTTGAGACCTAAATTAAAAAGATGACCAAAGTGTACATATAACTTTACTATTATTATTATTTTTGAGATGGAGTTTCACTCTTGTCGGCCAGGCTGGAGCCACAATTTTGGCTCACTGGAACCTCCGCTTCCTGGGTTCAAGCGATTCTCTTGCCTCGCCTCCCCAGTAGCTGGGATTACAGGTGCATGCCACCATGCAAAGCTAATTTTTTTCTATTTTTAGTAGAGACGGGGTTTCTCCATCTTGGCCAGGCTAGTTCCAAACTCCTAATCTCAGGTGATCCGTCTGCCTTGGCCTCCCAAAGTACTGGGGTTACAGGCAGGAGCTACAGTGCCCAGCCTAATTTTATTATTTTTTAAAATTTAGTATCTCACAAATCATCTCTCCTTTGGAACAGAAAGATATATGTCCTCTGCTATGTAAGTGTCATTAGCTTTTTGTTTGTGTTTTGTAGAAGTGGAGTCTCACTATGTTCCCCAGGCTGGAGTGCAGTGGTGTGATCTCGGCTCTCTGCAACCTCTGCCTCCCAGGTTCAAGCTATTCTCTTGCCTCAGCTTCCCAAGTAGCTGGGATTACAGGCATGTACCACCACAGCCAGCTAATTTTTTTGTATTTTTAGTAGAACGGGGCTTCACCATGTTGGTCAGGCTGGTCTCAAACTCCCGACATCGAATGATACACTTTCTTCAGCTTCCCAAAGTGCTGAGACTACAGGTGTAAGCCTGCATGCCCAGGGGTGTCATTACTTTTATTTTTTTTTAATTCCATACAGAGCTAGAGAAATTTTCTGTGTCTGTTCCCTCTGTTAGACTGGGGAATTCTTTGAGAGCAGCAGCTGTATCTGATATATCTGTCTCAGTGCCTAGGTTTGAGCCTGCCCTACAGGAGGCGGCTAGGGAGCATGGGGTAAAATCAGAATCTCTTGCATGTGTTTGGGTTTAGATTGAGACTCAAGCACTTACTGACTCTGGAACTAGAGAATGTGTAGTTCTGTTTCCTTATCTGTGAAATGCAGATCATAATATTTAAACCATAGGGTGGTCATGAGGACTGAGTCAGATACAATGTGTGTAAGGCTGTATATCCAGATGGGGATGTTGTCAGGGAAGAACTAGGGTTTTGTTTGTCTTGTTTGACTTTTTACAACAAGAATGTATTTGTGTTTTATCTGTATAATTTTAAAAGTTTTTTTTTTTTTTTTTTTTTTTATATGGAATCTTGCTCTGTAGCCCAGGCTGGAGTCCAGTGGGGCAATCTCAGCTCACTGCAGCCTCCACCTCCCGGGTTCTGGTTCAAGCAATTCTCTTGCCTCGTCTCTACTAAAAAAAGTTTTTTATTGTTGCAAAATACATATAATGTTTACTATTCTAACCATTTTAAGGGTACAGCTCAGTGGTAATAAGTACAGGCGGATTGTTGTGTAACCATCATCACCATTTCCAGAACTCTTTGCCTTGCAAAACCAAAACTTTATACCCATTAAACAATAACTCCCCTCCGCACCCTCCAATACCCACAACCACCATTCTGCTTT